AAAGACACAAATTAGATATGCGTGGCTAAGAGCAATTATAATCAAGACGAATTTCTCTAGTCATTTGGGAACTGAAAAAAATGCCTAATTGCTGGAACCAATGTTTTAAAAACTGAAATCATGCCAGTTAGCAAATATGTTCATTTAAAGAACATTCCACGTGACTACACTCTTGAGGATTGACTACAAACATGAGAACAAGGAAAATATTTAGGTATAAAATTAAAATTTTAAGCTCCTTTAGATTTATAACTTCTTCATTAAATACGTCTGCAAACAGCAGCCCATAAAAACCTGTAGCAATTAAGTGGTTAAATGAACTGCCTCCCTTGTCAATTTTAAAGGAGTGATTAATATTAGATCGTCCCTTTACTAATTAGACTCTCCCTTGTCTTTCGGCTTTAGAATCGAGTGAAAATGGAGGCCGTCTGCTCCAGCAAGAAGCGTGGGAGGCTGAGGACGCTCCCGTCCCCGGGCGTGAGCGTGGCGCCCCCTGAAGGGAGGTGAGCGCGTGGTTTTCCGTGGAGGTGGGCGGCAGGTGCGGAAATGGCTGTGCGCGGAGCCGGAGGGCACGCGGGGCGCCCGTCCATCACGCGAATTGCTGGCTCCTATTTTTAAAAGGCTTGCAGGTCGTTATGCACGCAGCACGAAATCTACTACCATCAAGGCCGCGGTCTTCCGGCCATCAGTCCTGGAGACACGGGACAGATTGGTCTGTGACGGGGGCAGGGTGGGGCAGTGGCTGGGGAGGGGCACCCACTGGCTGGGGAAAGGGACCTGAGACTCGGGGATTCTCGCCGAAGCTGCTGCCTGGACTGAGGGCCGGGCGCTCCCGCCCCGGCGGCGATGGGGAATCCATCAGATGGAGAAATGAGGCGACTGCTTACAAGGGAAATAAAGAGCGGCAGAGATGGAGAATATTTATATGCCCATCTCCTCACTTGGAGAGAAGATGCTTCATCACAGGGGTCGGCTGCAAAATCACACTTTGCCGACTCCCGAGCAAGCAGAACCTTTTGTCTGGGCAGTAGCAGGGAGGACAATAAGGCCCTCGCCAGGTCCCGGCCCCCAGGGCCACCCAGCTGCTGCCCAGCCCCATGGGGAGGGGCTAGGAGACCTCCCCAGGGCTGCCACAGCTGCCCCCGCCAGCCCCCTGGTCCCCTCCTGCGGCTGAGGGGAAATGAACAAAATCTCACTTTCTCCAGCCTGGGACTAATTTACTCGGCAAAGCCCCTGCTCGGAGCCGCAGACGGACACGGGCGGCCGGGCCAGGCAGAACCAGGACTGCTACCACCGGCAAGGGCCAGGGATGGTCAGATTTTAATTTCTCTATTAATCATGGCTTCGTTCATTTCCAACAACCCACGTACACTGCCTGAGCATTACTTCTACATTGTAAGAGGTTTCACCTCTATGATGATTTTTTTTTCCTGTTGAATTCTGCTCGGTAGCATGTACACTGGTTTTAATCGTGACCTTAAAACAAGACCTTCCTTGGGTGTCTGTTGTGAAACTTAACCAAGGGCTGCCTAGGCCACACCACTGGGGAAATCCTAAAGCCACTGACCAGGGCTCCGGCCTGGGGGCGGGGCCACCAGGCCCGTAGGTCAGCCTGAGGTGGAAGCCAGGGGCCTGCCCCACCAGGGGCCAACCCAGGTGGCAGATCTGGCAGCTGCACCAGGCGCCTGGACTCCACTGCCCCATGTTGCCCCACCGCCTCCACAGTCCACAAACATCCCTGCAAATGCCCGATGTCTCTGCCCATGAGCGTCACACGATGCCTCCAGCGCATCAGGATTCTGGGGGGCTGAGGTGCCCTGCCCCCCTACAACCAAGGTGACGTCTCGCCTGTTTCCGCCTGTTACTCAATGGCAGGAGATTCTTGGGCTGCCAAGCTGGGGTCCATGGCGGGTCCCTGCTATGGTGGGGGGCACCCGGGACCGCTCTCCTGGGCTGGCTGCTGGCGGGTTCCCTTTGGTCCCTAACCACCAAGCTCAAGGCTGACAGGCTACTGGGGTTCATTCAAGGAGAGGCCTGCCCCAGGGTCAAATGGTGGTGCCAGGCACAGGCTTGAATTCAGGAACATCTCGGGCAGCGCAGGTAAGTCAAGTGGGCAGGAAAGCAAGCTGACCGGGGTCTGGAGGTGAGCACCGTGCCGCCCTCGGGGACACACCCCTCTGCGTCCTCCGCCGCTGGGACCAGCCCAGGTTTTCCAGTGAACAGGGTGAGCAGGGAGTGGTCCTGGGGGTGGGGGTGGGGCAAGAAGCAGGGGGCGGGTCCTGGGTCCCCAAAGGCAGTCTCCCACCTTTAGGGAGCTTGGCAAAATAGTGTCAGATATGACAAAATAATAGTTTACAGTGAGCGAAGAAAACTGCCCAGCTGAGCTCTTCCTGCCCCCACTAGGAGCAGCCAGTCCTGCTGGGAAGAAAAAGGAGCAAAATCCTCCCAGGCCTCCAGCTCTACCGGCAAGGCCCGTGCAGACGCTACAGGGGCAAGTTCAGGTTTATTTATGGAGAAAAGCCTCTGACTTCACAGGAGACGGAGCCGTTCACCAATGTGTATGCAGATCAACATACTAATCACCGTTAAATGCACGTGGTGGCTTGTGTAAGGAACGTGTAAATCCTTGGATTAAATGCCAAGCTCCACAGCGTTCTGGACCGCGGGGGCATCTGTGGTGGTTTCACACCCTATTTAACAGTCCTAGCCTTTCCCCATTTCCCCACATTTTAAATGCCACTTTGGTTTCCTTCAGCAGGGAATATAGATGTGTGTTTTTAGCCCATCACTAAAAACCAAAGATAAAGCGAGGCTCCGTGAACCAGGATGTCAGTGCTCAGACACCAGCACTGAGCAGCGTGCCACGCCGGGACAGTTCACACCTTTCTGTGGACACGGAGGACAGCAATGACAATGGCCATGGCAGCGACCTGAGCGGCCGCCGGGGCGGACCCTGTTCCGAGCCGTTCACAAGCCTCTCTCAGTCGGACCGGACACATGCTACAGGGCAAGCACTTTCATTACTGTTCCGGTTTTACAGGAGAGGAAGCCAAGGCCCAGAGACGTGAAATGGAGGAGCTCAGACTCGTGTGCAGGGCGGCGGCCTGCAGAGCCCGCCTGCCCCAACAGGTTCGCTCAGAGCATCGGACCTCAAGGTAATGGTCTAACCGCACGTGGTTGCGGACCCGGCTTCTGTCTTTGGAGGCAGGGAGAGAACTGAGGTGGGCAGTGGCTTCTGCCACATGCATGGGCCCTGCATTGGGTCTGTCCTGCATCACCCTGGGACTCAGAGTCGCCTCCTCCTGTGACTCAAAGACCAGGGTCAGAACACGGGTCCACAAGCCTCCCGTACCCCACTGTCACCACCAGCCCCTCAGAGGGACACGGGGCCACAGACTTTAAGTCACAATGGAGAGGATGTGGAGTTTGACATGCTAGGTCTCAATCTTGTCCTGGGCAAGTGACTTCCCCTCTCAGAGTCCCCATTTCTGCTCCATGAAGTGGGGAGGGATGACAGCCACCTGGTCAGCTTGGGGTGACAGTTACGGCCCAGTGAGTGCTCAGTGGACCCAGGGCGGACGGGGCAACGCTCCGGTGGCGGCCCCGTCTCCGGCACATGCCAGCTCACGACACCCGACCCACGGTGAGGGGCTCTTGTCTGCCAGAGCTTTTGACATATATTCATGGCTCCAGGAAAAGCCCTGGCAGAGGGGTTCAACGACGCTCCCTGTTTGCACAGGGAGAGGGCGTGACCCGCCCCCAGGCGGCGTGGGGCTGGGTGAGGCCTCTGTCCTTATGAACTTGACCATCCTAAATGGGTCACTGGCTGTGCCCCTGCTTCGCCACCCGCAGCCAGAGCGGGCCACCCTCAGAGGCCTTCCCACACACACACTGAGCGCCTCGGGACACGGGCCCCCATGCAGAGGCAGGTCACAAGCGGGCGGCTGTGCCCGGACCATCCCTGGCCCCCTTGATTTCGGGAAGGGCTAGCGAGGAATTCCATGCGCACATCTGTGATGGGCTAGCCGGCCATTCCTTTGCTTAAGTTTACCCACCCCCCAAAATCCTACAGATGACAATCACTTTGGTTTTTATGATTTACTGAAAATCAAAGACAAAAGGGGACTTTTTTGTCTTGTTTTTGTTATGACAGGTTTCGAAATTTGTTGTACTACATTGATTCAATTTTCCTTGATTTCAGCCATCTTTCAATAATGCAACCTGCTTCTGCTGGCTGGGTATACAAGAGAAAACCCAAAGGGGCTGAGAATATTGAAATGGTTCTACCATTTCCATCTTTGAGACAAATGTTCCTCTCCAAGGAGAGCCGGCGGCAAGCACGTGATGCTGAGCAACCTTCTGTGCATCACAGACAACGCACAGGCTGGCGCTGTCTTAGGGGCGGGGGCCACGGGCACCTCTGACCTCCAGTGTGACTCCTGTACCTCAGCCCTCGTTCTTCTGAGTTGTCAGAGCTGCCCCGTCCTGGATTTCTTTGTTTTTATTAGGAAAACATCCGGACTATTTCAAACCGAGCTGCCAAAGGGAGGGTGGCTTATCACACACAGTGGGGTGTATCCCGACCCTGTAAATCACACGGGGGCCAGGGCACGTCCCCAAACCCCTAATGGCGGCGCATCCTAAAACAGAAGGTGGCGGAAAAGTTGACTCCATGCCCATTGCCCAACCTCCTCCACCTTCTTTAAGCTGAGACATTTAAAAAAAAAAATAAAGCACAAGGGATTGTTCTGTCTGTTCCTTAAAACCTTCTGACTTAGAGAAGACAAGGAGGTGCTGGTCATATTTGACTTGAAGTAATGAACACAGTAAACATGAGTGTCTTTTTCCAAGCAATACATTGGAGTGAAATAAAAGTGCTTTTCTCAAAAGGCGCCCCACACCCAGGTCCTTCCTGTTCCTGTTCTTAATGAGAGGAGAGACCCAGGGGTGGAGCGAGCGACGGCTCAGGCCCCCTCCCCCACTCTGGGGGGCTTGCTTACCTCCTTCTCAATTTCTGCCAGAGATTTGATGGTGATTCCCAACAGATCAAAGGGCTGCATCTGAAAATACAGACCAAGTCATCCTTTCAAAGGGCTGGACAACGCTCCTTCACATCGGCTTTCATTGCACAACAGTGTGAAACCCACCCCGCCCTCTGTGATCCCGTGTTTTCTCCACCCCCTTCCCACAGAAACCCGTCAGTGGGACCCTGTGGCGATCAGTGAGGGTCAACGGCCCAGGAGCATACTTCCGGAAAACCTGGCTGTCAGCGGCGTCGGTCCCGTCTGGGAGAGACCCCTGCGTCTGTCTTCAGCACCCAGGAGGGTTGCAGCCATCCCGAAAGATAGTGACTGTCTCCAGTAACTGCCACCTCTCTCCACTTCCCCCCTCCCCTGCACGTGATTTGCTTGCTTCCGTGATTTGCTTGCTTCCGGCAGCTGCGGGGCTGGGGCTGCCCAAGGCTTCACCAGAGGCCGCCCTGACTGCTGAGCCACGTGGTGGAACGTGCCTCGGGAATTCCTGGGGGCTGCAGGGAATCTTTTGTTGGGGACTCCAGGTATCCAGGGAAGGAGCTGGGGGAATTCCAGGTCTTCAAAGGTGCAAGGTGAATGAAATAACTGCCCATTAATTATCATTTGCGAAATCAACGGGGTGGTAAAAAATAATACCGCACTTCCATGGGTGTCTCCATAATTTCATGAATATGGGGGACTTTTTTCTTTTCTTTTTTTAAAGATGCTGGCTTTTCAACACAGCATGAAAAATCAAACACACATGGCCGCGAGAGTGAGCTGGAGGCCCAGAGCAGCCTGGGCCGAAATGCGCGGCGTGGGGGCACAGGGGCCTGGCTGAGGCCCCTCCTGGCCTGCTCTGGGCACACAGGTGTTCTGCAGTCCCACGAGGGCGCCGGCCCCGCCTCCTGCAGCTCAGGCCAGCAGCTGGCAGCAGGGGATGAACAAGTGAAACCTGAGAGCCTTCTACAAACCCCAGGGCCTCCATGGTTCTCAACTGCAGCCCAGAGGTGGGGGCAGAGCCGGAGTGGGGCCGAGGGTCTCCTGCGAGGCGAGGTTAGAAAGAGGCCGGCTTCGGAGTCCAAGGACCGGGACTCAAAACCCGGGCTCCGCGCCTCCTTGCGATGCAGCCGCAGGTTAAATCACTTCATCATTTCCTCTGCTGTTAAAAAGCAGCGTGGGCGGCCCTCCTGGCTGGGCTGCTGGGAGGATTAACCGAGAGAAGCGCAAGGAAGCGCTTGGCACCGGGCTTGGCCCGAGTCCGCGCGCCTTGAGCACTTGCTGAGTCGGCAGCGCCCTGGTAGCAGCACATTAGTGAGGGCGATCTTGGGACAGGGCCACCAAATTAGGCACTCAGCTCCCGGGGCTGCACTGCCAGTAGCCAGGAAACAGTTTGGCTCTCACCTGCTGCCAGCCCGGGCGGTGCAAGAGCGGGGCTGCCTGCCCGCGCTGCCCGGGACCCAGCAGAGGTCCAGCTGTTGTATCATTAGGCTCTGACTGCCCCACTAAACTTTCCCGACTGGAGCTGGTGCGCAGGACAGAACAGCCTCTCCAAGGGAGCAGGCAGGAGAGGCGCCAGCGTCTCCATGGCAACGCGGCCAAGTGGAGTCGGCTGAAGTTACTCATGCTCCGCATGTCACGTCAGGAGCATTTTTCAAGATTAAGCTGCTTACCAGAAGGGTTCAGAGGAGGCCTATTATATTTCATGAAAATGGAAACTACAGAGCAGGTCAAATCGCAAGCCGGGTGGTTTTAAGCTGGATCCAAGGAAAACACTGAAGGATTCTTTAGTGGGTGCCCAAACCAGGGCCTTCACGTTTATTAGCTGCTCAAAGCAAACTTCTTCAGAAAGGACAAAAAAAAAAAAAAAAAAAAAAAAAAAAGGCAACAAAAACATACCCAGAAACAAGTCTATCGAGCCAGCGTGGGCCAGGCTGCGTAGCTGAGGGAGGGCCACCGCCATCCTGGGGGGCAGGCACCATCCGGGAGGGGGCATCCGGGAGGAGAGTGCCGGGAGGGGGGTGCCAGGCGGGGCCTGCAGCCCAAGCCCACAGCCACCCAGCGCTCTGCGTGGTGGCGCCTCTCAGGGCCTGCGTTCTGGCCTTGAGGCCCAGCCAGCTGTCTCAGTGCCCCTGTCACTGAAGACAGCTTGGGGGCTGGGTCTGCTCGCGTGAGTCGTGCTGGCCGGCGGTGAGCAGGAAACCCACCGCTGCAGGACCCTGCGTAGCAGGGTCAGCCGGCCCTACCGGGGCCTCCAGCTAGAATGGAAAGAACGAGGCGGCCTCCCTTCTGTAGGACACCATCATTGTTAAATAAAAAAAGAACAGACATTAAGCTGACCTTGGAAACCAAGTGAAGTTCAGTCCAATTAACCGTCACATTTGCAACAAAAAGTCTAGGCTGTGTCTGAGTTTGCTAGTCTGTCTCGCTCCCTCTTCTTTCGTTCACTCTCAAGGGCCTACGAGGGACAGCCTCAGCTGAAGGGGCGTAGAGGGGCTCGACCCACTCGCAGGGCTTGGGCAGCCGGCCAACGGCCAGGGCGGCGCTTCTGCCAGGCTGGGGATAAACGTGCCCGCGGGGGTGACCCTCATGGAGGCAGGGATGGGGTGGGGGGCACCAGGAGAGCCCTGCATGCCACTGGGTGGGGGAGCTCAGGCTGGGGGTGGTAAGAGGGAAGGGGAGAGATCACGCATACAACTTACACTCTCTGGAACACAAGAAAACTTCTCTGAGATCATAAAAGGCACACCATCCATTGCTGCAAAAGAAGAAGAGAGAATGGCATTGTAGACACCATCCATGTTCAGCAATTGAGACATCAACATAGGTGGTACAAGCCAGTGGGTGGCTAAAGCGAAGCAACCCGCACACAGGTGAGAGAGCCTTAGGGGGCCGTGTGCATGGGCACCATCCCTGCTCCTGGGACACACAGCTGCTGCGGGAGGCAGGCGCTCCGCACGGCCCCAGAAGAGCAGGCAGCTGTGTAGACAGAGCTGCAGGAGCAGAGAAGGGCCCAGCACCCACCCTAGGAGCCAGATCTCCGGCCTGCGAGTGGTAGGAGCCACTGAGGGCTGCCGGCAGGACAGAGGTGCAGGAGGCCGAGGGGACAGAGCGGTGCTCGTGAGATGGGCCGCGGCGGGGGTGTTAGACACTCTCTCAGCCGAGAGGGTCACGTCCCAGGCTGTCAGACTCATGGGATGTGTCTAGGTTGGAAGAAAGAGTGGCTTTGGAGCCAGACAGACTGGGTTTGAATCCTGGCCATGGCCTTGAATGGGCTCCATAAGTTCCATTTCAAAGAGGATGCACAGGTGCGTGTGAATGGGTGGTGCGTGCAGCACCCACCCAGCACTCGGCACAGAGCAGGTGCGGGGCTGCTCGGCCACTTTCGTGACCTCGGTCACAGTCCTGCACGGCTCACCCGCCTGCCTGGTCTCAAAGGCTGGCACAGAAAGGGTACGGAGGTCTGCAAATGCGTGTGAGTGTGTGTCTCAGAGGGGCATCCCTTTTCCATAGCCCTCTGCCCACGGTGTCCCCAGGTCACTGCCTCACTCCGCAGAGGCACACGGAGAAAACCACCGCCCGGCACTGTCTCTATCAGCATGTTCCCTCCCGGGACAAGTGCACTTTGTGAATTACGGCGTCAGAGAAGGGCTGAAACCCTGTCTGTGCTGGAAACCCTGGCACAGGGGACAGGCCCCGTCTGACAGGGCGGCATGAGGAACACACCCAGCATGAGGCTGGGCAGCCGGGGAGAGTCCTCGGGCCTGGCTTCTTGGTCAGGTCCCAGCATGGCCGGGAACAGGCTGTGGCCCGGCCCCCTCGCTGGTTCCGGCCATTTGGGCTCGACCTGCAGCCCAGCGGTCGGCATGGGGGCCTCACCCCAAGGGCAGATTGGTTTCTGGTAAATCATAGTTTTAGGGAGAAATGAACTGACAGAACAAAAGCCAGTTTCCCAGGAAATATGTTCTTTGCTTCCCCCAGTATTTGAAACAGGGACATCTCTGGTATATAAGCGGGGGACAATTTTTCTCATTCCTAAGAAAGAAGAGTCACAGATGCAGAATGAAGAAAAGCAACAGAAGAGGGAATAAAAGAAAGAAAGGAAAATAAATCTGGGACAAATCCTCTGAGCAGCCAAATGAACCAAATGGCTCACTTTAAACTATGTTCATAATTTATTTCAGGGAAGGAAAAAATATAAAACTTTGGTAAGTCTGAAGAAGAACCAGAGCAGCTGGCCCTGGCAGCTGGCCGGACGCCCCCACCCCCACCTTTCTGCGGAAGGCTGCTGTCCAAAGCGTGGCCTCCGGCTGGGACGCAGACACCTCCGGTCTCCCATCATGGGGGGGCCCTGCAAACTGCGGTGACTGCTGGCCGCAGACCGGCTGAGGGCTGCGAACAGCGCCGCACTGCCCCAGGAGGAGGGGAAAAGCCCCAAATGACCTGACACGGTAGGTGACATTCAAACACAACAGTGAGAGCGGAGGACTTGCGCGTGCGTGCTCATCTACAGCTGGGAAGTCGGTGACCAGGCCACCATGCCTTCGAGAAAGGGGCAGGACCAGGTCCCACTCGAGATCCAAGAGGAGGCCGTGCTCCCTCCCCAGCACCTGCCGCTGTCTGCCCAACGTGGACTCACCCCGCGTGGCACTGACCGCCGAGCCCTTCCCTGTGCACGGAGAAGGGCAGGCACGGGGGTACTCGCCTTTCTGATCATTCCACAGATCAGAGGCTCAGAAAGGTCGCGGTCTGCCGAGGTCACCCAGGTAGCAAGCAGGGACTCCCAAGTCCGTTAGGTAGAAGTGGGGTTTCTGAACACAAACCTCCTGCGTCCTGCACACCAGGCCCTTCAAGGTCTGACGGCCATTATCACACCTTCCGCAAGCCTCCCGGGGGCCCTTCTCTAAGCTCTTCTCATGGGGCCTGTGGGCCAGGAAGAGCCATGTGCTCGAAGGGCCCAAATGCGGACCCACGATCACCTTCTCCCCAAGCCCACTGTTCCTTGGTCCTCCTCCTGGCCGTTCCAAGTCAAGCGCTAGAAGCCACCGCCTTCTCCACCCCACCTTTAAAGTCCCAAAGCCCATGGCTGTCACTCGCCATGGCCACGTCACTCTCCGCTCTCTGTACACCTATCTGCACACACACAGCTCCAGGTGGCAGGGCCAGGGCCGGCCCGCGCGCCCCATGGCGCCATGGTCGGGAAGCACTCTCACTGCACGCCCGGAGGGCGGCCTGCACAACAGCACCTCTAAGCACCCATCACCCCCCGACAACCCCCACCATTCCGGTTCCTTCAAGAGGCCTTCTGCCTCTGGACTGTTAAAGACCTTATTAGTGTTTGGGACTTCCTGTTAATATCCGCTGCCAAACGCCCTCTCCCTGGTGACAGTTGTTTCTATCTAAATGTCAACATATGATTAGAGAACTTGTGTTCTGAAAGGGTGGTAAAGTGACCTGCAAAGGCCTGACTACCCCCCGGGGAAATGAGTTGGGAGGCCCTGGGGTGGGGGGGAGGGAGGAGGCCCCGTCCAGCCGAAGGCCCAGCAACACCTGGACCTCCGAAGGGAAGCGGATGGGAGGATTTTCCAGGTGGGGTCCCCACTGGCCTATGGGGCCCTGTGCCACGCACTGTCCCTCTTCACAGATCACCCCCTCCCTTCACCCCTTATGCTACACCCAGCCATCCTTCTGGGGTCTGTTCTCTTGCAGGAAGCCATCCCCCCGAGGTCCCGTGCCCCTCTCCCCACTCCGTCCAGCACCATGTCTCCTCTCCTGGTGGTGGTCCACGTGCGAGTCTCCTCTGCATTCCCGTGTCCCTGGCACAGGGCGCAGCCCAGAGGGGCTCCGTGGGCATGCAGGGACAGTGATGGAGGCTGCTCCCCGCAGGAATGTCCCTGTGGACGCAGGCGTTCCAGCCGGGGGCACATACCAAACCCCGCGAAGGCCTGGTAAGCTGCTGCCTGCCGCCCACCCAGCTGGCTGGCAGGCAGGGACGGAGCCGTGGGTTTTGAGAAGTCTGGGAGCCACCTGCAGGGACGGAGATCTGAGTGGGCAGGAGTGCTTCGTCTTGTTTTTTTAATTTTGATAATTGAGGTTAAGTTTACATACTATAAAATTAGCTATTTTAGAATAAATGATGCCGTGGTGTCGGGCACCCTCACGGTGCTGAGCGACCGCCACCTCCACGGGGCTCCAAAACATTTTCCTTGCTCCAAGGAACCCCCACACCCAGACCCTTAGCAGGCCCCCCATGATCGGGCTTGTATTCCTTCTTCCAGCCGACAGGCATGTCTGGGAACCTAAGACTGGCTTTCGGGACTGTGGTGGCCCAGCCCCCTGGGCTGCTTGCTATGCTCCTGCCTCGCTAGTTACGACGAGATGGGAAGAGCGGTTTGCCAGGGCCGCTGGTCGGACTGGGAAGGCTGCAAGTAAAAATCGAGGAGAAAAATAAAAGGACCCAGAAAAAAGTAACTTGTCAAACTTGGATGTTAGCAATAGTAGTATTTTTATGTACATATAGCATATATGATATATAAATAAACTTTTATATAAATGTATAATGTGTCACATGTGTCTATTTCATATATTTATGGAATATAGGATATAGTTTTATATTCTGTACCTATATACACACATATCCATACATGTACACACACAGAGAGCATTCTGAGACTGAAGGAAGTGGGAAACAGTGCACGGTGGCCACGGCCACACCTCCCAGCGGGCCTTCCGCACCCCCCCTCCCAGGGTGACATCCCTGCTCCCCCTCCTCCCTCTGGAACCTGCAGGACGTGGGGAGCTGTTGGGGCTGAGTGAGGGCTAATCCGCCCAGGGAGCAATCAAGGGGTTTGGCTAAGGCCCACCTTCTGGCCCCAGGGAGGAGGGAGCCAAAGGCGGCTTCTTCATACACACACTGCTGAGGGGCTGGAGACAGAAGGCCAGACGCCCTGTCATTGTGGGACACCCCTCCCCCCCCGAAAGCAGTCATGTGAAGAGAAGGGAGGAATTTGGGACCAGGTGCCACTGTATCTTAGAGTTTATGATAGAAAGACAGGCTCAGTCAGATGCTCTTCAAACTCTTCTAGAACACAGAAGAAAAGGAGGCGAGTGGGTAGGATCTCGTGGCCTGGGACGTGGGGACGGAGCTCACTGAGAGGAACGAGACACTTGCGTCCACGTGTGGAGCCTTTACAAGGCGGGTCAGGGGCCCCAGGAGCCAGCAGAAGTTTGCTAAACAGACAATCTGCCAGCCCAATTTCATATTTTAAAGAACCTAATATGTCAAAGAGTATGGTAAGCTGAAGGGATGCGGATTTTAGCAAAGCACTTGACAAAATATCTTATGTTACCCAAGTGGATAAAACAAATAAATATGGCTGGACAGTGTTAAGGGCTGGGGAACCTTTAACTGGTTGGACTGGATGGACAAGTAGCTGACTAATAGATTGATGTTGACCTTGAGCGACTTCTCTGGAGGTTGCCCAGGGTGCTATCAATTACTTCCCTGAAGATGTGTGTAGTGTGCCTATCCAATACATGGCCGATGGGGAGTCAGGGAGGACAGCCTATCAACTGGTAACAGGGAAATCCAACACAGATCTCAAAAACTTAGGATCATGGGCTAAATGTAACTGATGAAAGACCAATGTTAAGTCTTATACTTTAGGTCCAAACACCAACTGTATCAGATGGAATGAAAGAGATGAGAAGGATATGAGAACAGATTTGTTTGTACTTGAACAACGTGATTCGCCATTT